ATGTGAAAAAAAAAATTTAAAAAATCAACTTTTCTTTCTAAAAAAAATTTTTTATTTTTTTAAAAAAAAAAAAAAAAAAAAAAAAAAGGGTGTGAGGTGCACTTCTGGTCAAAATCTGAGGGAAAATGTTACAAGTATTCATATGACATACTACTGCATAGTTACCTGCTTTTATTAGTTTCAAAATAAAAAAAAGCAGAAAAATGAGTGCAGAGAAAAGAAATATACAATTTTTTGACAAATGACAATAGACAAATTACATATCAGCTCATAAGTTTTAGACAGCTCATCAAAATGAAAAATATGTCTACATAGGACAGATTAGTAAATAACCCCACTGCTCTTGTTGCTCACTTCAAAAATTTATTTCTAAATGCTTAAAGCAAGTGTTTTTCAGCAGACTCTTGGGAATATCTTCCCATGGTATTAAGATGGCTTTTTTTTTTTTTTTACTTTTCACGAAATCCATCCTCAAACATTTGTGTGACTCTTTGATCAATTGGAAACTTGAGGTGGTCAAAAAGAGGAACAAACTTCTGCAAAAAATACATTTTAAGAAGGAATCAAACTAAGGTATTGATCTTACCATCCTGGTATCGATTTGATGCCGATTCTGAACTGGTATCAATATTATCGATATTTTGGATTGAATTGCTCACCTCTAGTAACAAGCATTACTGTGTGTGTAGTGTACATAAAGAAGCCCGCCTCCCATCTGAATCAAAAAGTAGTAATCAGATGTATTGAATATCCAGTAAATCAGAAGGAATATGGATTATGTTCAGCCAGACATTTTTTGTTCTACTTTGTTTTCCTATTTTTTGGGATACAGGTTATCAGGCAGATAGTGAGAACACCATTCCCAACATCAATGTATGAGCACTGTGTAGCGACTACAACTCTAAACGGAGCTATTCTATATTTTAATTAAATGTTGAGGCACCAATAACCCGATTTCTTTTCATTGTCTGCACCGTAACGCTTAGCATTACGTTAGAAAAGAACGTATAGAAAAGAACAGCACATAACTTTATTGTCCCACAATGGGGAAATTCAGGTGGGCCAGCATCAAGATAAGTGGAAGCATGGATATTCCAACATGTTCCTGGGCTGGGAATCAAACCCAGGACCTTCTTGCTGCCAGGCAATAGCTCTACCAACTACACCACTGTGTAGCCCATGCGCCATACATACAATTTAAATAAAACTACAAAAGAAGAAAACAAACCTTTGCAGATGTTTTTATGCGCATGACAATGTTGCAACTATTAGCCCAGTTCAAAGTAAATTACTTTAACTATACTTTTTACGTGAGTGTCATCTGAAACATTACTTTGAAATTTCAGTTTACATGGCACAGAGCATAGACGGAATAATAATAGTAATCCTGTTTTATATTGCACCTTCCATCACTCTGCATAAAATAAATATTTGCATTTGTCCAAAGCTTTTATTACATCCATATTCCTCAAAGCAATGAATGTTACTTGTGTCTATTTTATCCTATAGCCGTTCATTTTTAAAAAAATATATACTTTTGCTTGATATGCAGCTTGCTCTAAACCTCATCCCTTTTGGTTCCTGAGGCACAGCTTATAAATGAACAGTTCATTGCGTTTTTTTTTTTTTTTCTTTTCTGATGAGGTGGTGTTTCCTCTCATTGTGGGTTCTAACAAGGCTGCAGAGCTGTTTCCCCACAACCAATTAGAAAATTACTCTGCCTATGAATTACTATAGACTCAGGCTTCATCAATTACTCTAAAACAGAGAGCTTTGCTGCCTCAGCAGATTTGCTGTGACTGGGGTGGTGGCCTTATTTATTCCTCTGTGTTAACGATTGTATCATCGCCAACTGCAAATAATATTAATGAAGTATAAATATTTAAGAGGGCTGCACAGCCACAACTAAGGGACAACAATTTTTTTTGTGAACTTGCAAATCGCTCAAGGGGAGCAGTCATCATAACTGAATTAAGTTGTCAGAAAATTAAACTGTACTGATGATGAATGAACATTTAATTTGCAAAACAATCAAATTTTACATTCCAAGCTACATGAATTAACTTAAATAAATAAGACTGACGTGTCCAAATACCAAGAGCAATTTAGTGTCAGATTTGTACCTCAGATGGAAGGCCGCTGGAACTCAGTGGGACTGCAGACAGAGATTTATTTAGAAAATTGAACATCTCAAAGAGCTCCAGGAAACACTGAGGAGGAGTTCAAGGAATTTCTGCATGGAACAGCAAGCACACATGTGTGTGTGTAGCCTCATGTAAGGGAATGCTGATGCTTATATTTTTAGGTCTTTGCCCTGGGCAGTTGTGCTACCCTGGTCCTGTGCTTTACGTATGCATTGAGGCATACAAAGAGAGGTGAATAGTGAAAGGAGGTGTGTTAGGGATGCACAGAGTGAAACAGTGAATTCTGAAGGCGCTTACGAATGAGAAGAGGAGATGTTGAACCTACAGTCTATCCGTGCCTGGCTCTTTCAGAGGTGAGCTCCAGGTTAGTATTCAGCAGAGGGCGTCGAGCTGAAGAGCAGCACTCATTGACCAGCAGACCCCAACTCACAAGGACCCTGCAGGGCCCCCAGCAGCTGTGGGCGGACGTGCTGCACAAACCCAATGTTGGGTCTCTTGTAACCGCACCTCAAGCTGATCTGCAGCACACAGAGAGCGAATAAGATGGATGGAGGAGGAAGTGCATCAAGGGAAGACGGAAGGAAAATTTTCAACTCTAAGAGATAATGAGTGCCGGAGTAAAAAATAAATAAATAAATGCAAGCGGCGGTGGGTGATTTCTTATAGACTGTGATTAGAGAGTGAGGCTATGTATGCACAGAGTGGAAGTGTATAATGTATTCATGTGTAAGTTACTAAAGAAAGGCAGTGCATAACAGATAGCTATGACAAGGAATGCAAAAAACAACTACAGAAAAACTAACAAGTAGGCTGCACTTTTTTTCTGTCTTGTATCTCAAAGTCAATTTTCTGGAATCTAGCTCACATTTCTTTTTGAATGTTGATGAATGTGATGAGCACCACATTTCATGAGGCGTAGATCTCTGCTATGTAGATGCACAACTCAGTTGGGATAATCTGTGGAAAGGACAACTAGTGTGAGCATCACAAATCTGATCTTCATTTAGCAAGAGCAGTGAAGAGAAAGCCGTAGTTCAAAGAAAGCCACTAGAAGTCACATTCAAAATTTCTCCACAAGCCGTGCTGGGGACAGTCCTAACGTGGAAAAATGTGTACTGGTCAAATAAAAGTAAAGCTAAACCATTTGGAACAACTTGCAAAATACAAAAACTCAGCACATTATTCTGAAAACGCTTTTCCAACTGTAGCCTGCAACAGCGGCAAGAAAATACTGTGGGGACAGAGCAACCTGGTCATAGTTGAATGGAGCTAAAAGGGTAATCCTTAAAAAAAAAATCTTTAGAGTTGCAAAGACTCAACTGTCCAAGTTTTTTTATGATTGGAAATATTTTGAGACAGTCATATTTTTCCATCTTGTAAGCTGGTGAAACATATAGGAGCCTTATTTCAGCTACTGCTTGGCAGTGTGTCTGGGGAAGGGCAATACTTTTTACTCTATGCACCACAACAGACTCCATCCACTCTAGCACTTTCTTTGGCATCTCAGTGAAAGGAATTGAAGCCATAGAAATTATGATAATGGAAAGTTTGGCATCTTAGTATTGATAATTCATTACCCATAATCAACTGAATAACTAAACATTTTTTCAGAAAACTAAAAAAAAAAAAAAAAAAAAAAAATACAGTTGTGTAAAATGGAGTTTTTATAATTCATTTTCAATAGTTAAGGAACATAAATGTTACAAATTAGAATTCCTAAAGTCATTAAAGGGGACATATGCAAAATCCATTTCTAAGGCCTTAAATACATTTTGTTTTGTCCTTGCAGTCAGTGCAGAAAAGTTTGGTTTAGTTTTAGATGTTTATGAGATATTCTTCAAAAAAAAAAACATGCATGTTACATTCACATGCTATTCCGTGCTGCTTAATCACAGAGAGCTACAGCTGTTAATTTGACAAAATATGTTTTCAGGGGTCTGAATATTTCTGCTAGGCCATGTCAGCGATTTTGTCTAGTCATTGAAAACATTAAATAAATAACACACCAGAAATATTATTCGTTCACTCTCTTGGACATTATTTTAAACTAAAGGAGACAAAAAGACAAATATTTATAGATTTTCCAACAGATAGGAATAATAGTGCATTTCCTAAGACATTAATGCTTAACTGGAGAAGCCACAAACTACCTTTACAGTAAATGGCTGTTTTCACTCAGCAGGATGCTGACCTTTCTGTGCTTCAAACCAGCATCACTGAAGACTTTCCCCCACTTGTCCCCTTTCCCACAGTTCCCCTTCTCGACTCCTTTGCTCAAATTCCTACTCCATTTCTGCCAGAGATGTGAGCATCGGTGGTGAGGACAGCCATGAGAAGAGACGAGGTGAGGTGACAGGCCTGAACAAAATGAGACATCCTTGCCTCAGGCTGTGTTTGATGTGTAACAAAACTGCATCGTCTATCTATTGTTTTTCTCATTATGCTTGCATTATTTCTCTCTGATTAACCTAAAATGTCAGTATGACCAAGTATAACATTTCTTTTAATTCATTTTACTGTGTGAGATAAATAGAATTACATCCCCTTCAGGCTTTACAGATGCCAAAAAAAAAAAAAAAAGGCTTCTTGGTGAAATCTGCCATGTTGCTGCTTTAACAAGGAGCCTCGCATGTGGATCTCCCCCTCTGGGTGCATTTTAGAAAATATGACATTCTTCAAAACATTTTGGCTTTGAAGGACAAATGAGATTAGCCTTCTGTGAGACGGAGAGGAAGTTTTGAACCTGTACACAGAGGAGGAAGGTAATGTTTCCACGGAAAGATGGAGGGGAGGGGTGATTAATAAGGGAGGTCAAGTGGACAGAAAGACTGAGCAATACACTGGTTGATGCTGGCAGATAATGGAGAAGATAATAAGACAGTAATGGACAAATGAAATGTTTCCAAAGAAGTGGGGCCTCCAAATGCTTCCTGTCAACAAATGTATTGATGTTCATGTCGTTTGTCATGGTTTTAAGTGAGCATTTAGGAGCAGACGGGAAGATAAAGAGTCATTATTTTGGCAACATTTCATGGTATTCAAACTTTGATGTGTTTGGTGTTTTGTCCTATTTTCATCTACAAGAAGCAAACAAAAGTGTGTGTTCCAGCAAAATCAAAATGCCATAAAGTTAATTTTTCATTTGTTGCCTATAATTTCCTGCTAAAAAAAATACAAAAATATTAATGACTCTGCCTGCACATCTTGCTTTTGACTAATTTCCATTTCAGCAAATGTAAACTACTGCAATGTTTTTTAATGTTTTTTTTTTTTTTTTTTTTTACAAAGTAGCCAGTAAGTCAAACATTTAGCCATAACTTTTACTGCACTTTCTAAAATTCTTCTTATTCCTTGAGCTTTTTCACATTTGTCACATTTATGTGTTTATTTCAGTGAGGTTTTTTTTGTGATGGGCCAACACAAAATGATTAAAAGGTGCACAAAAACGGATGATAATTTTGAAAAATAAAATAAAAAAATCTGAAATGTGGTCTCCAGGCACATTCGGTTCAACACTTTTTAGAACCATTCTTTTCTGCTGCAAATGTATTTATTAAATCAAATGGCGAACAGATGCTATGTAAACAGAAATGTTCCAGTCTTTCTATTGGATTTAAATCTGAACTTTGAATTGGTCAATATACCAATTCAAATGGATATAATTGAATTTACTTTAATTTGCCCCAGTTACAAGTTGTTTCCCTCCAATTTTGCATTGCATGTATTTTTCCAACAACTTGGTAGCCTTTCTATCCTCAAAAAGAAAATGTAATCACTAAAATGTTATTTCCCTCTGTCTTGGTTGTTATGTGCCTTATAAGGGGGATGTGTGCTTCTAACTTCTAAGGCTTCTTTACAGTAAAGGTTCCTGCTCTCCTTCCAGGCTCTGCCCTGCATCACACCAACCCACGCCCCACCCCCACTGCATGCAGGTCTAATGAGTGGAAGAACAGAAAAGAGAGCTATTGCTGACGTTAGCGGCTGAGCATTAGCCTGGACCAGGCCCCATGCAGACCCACTTATCTGAAAATCACCTGTGTTCTGCAGACAGTAAGGTCAATTATGTTGGAGCTAAACCAGTACCTCTCTGAACAAATCAGGGCGTAACGTGACCATCCGATTAGCCGGTTCCCTATCCAGAAAGAGTTCCTGTTATTTTATTGTCTTTATCTGCTTATAGAGGATAATCTTGTTGGACTATATTTTTTTTTTTTTTAAGATATAGTTTTGTCCTCACTTGCCCAGCAGGTTCAAATGCCACCAGTGGAAAAAAAGGAAGCAGAGGTGTTTGATGTTTATTTGTGTTTGTGTGTCTGTGTTGTTGCTGCAAATCATTAGTTTCCTCTGCCTGTTTATTTCAGCGTAGCAGTCACAAAATTCATGTATGGGTTTATGTAGTATTTTTCCAAGAAATGAAGTCCATGCCACTATTGGAAACTTGTTTTATTTAAGCTCATGAGGCTCATCAGAAAACGGAAGTTCCTCCAGAGCTTCTTGTGTGGGCTGCTTCTGATCCAGAGTCTGGTTTAAACTTTTGACTTTTTGCCCTTATTTCCAACATTGTAATAGAGTTCCCTCTAACACAGAGGACCACGGCGCTGATCTGGACAACAGAGGCAGAGATAACAGTGACATGACATTATGTCAAGTAATTTATCCTTAACTTGCTGAAAGGACTGACAGTTTAAAGAGCCTCTTATTACGGTTTCACCGCCTTCCCATTCATCAAGATTATTTGCATGAAAGTGAGCCTGTCTGTTCAGATAAATGGACTCCCAGGGAATGTTTGATGTTGGACCTATAACACTTTCTTGCAACTGAAGAGATGATTTTAAAATAACCTACATGGCCTAAAAAAAGCTACCTCGGAGACAAAGGAAAGTAATCGGCTCGACGGTGAATGAGCCATGCCTCATTGTGTTGGTGCTTTCACTTGAGCATGTGCACCTGTGTTCAAGCCTGTGTCTGTTCTCCTGTAGTGGTCAACTCAAATTACACACTCCATCATCTGCTCTCTTCAGCCAGCAAGCTCATTTGGAAATGAGATTTGAAACAGCAATAAATATAGAATTATGTTGGAAAGAAGGGGAGAAGAGGGAGTGATTCTGAAATTATTTTGTCAGGGGCTGTTCCAGCTCACTATGGGCGTTTGGGAAGAGCCTGACAGACGTAATGGCGGTGACTAACGGCTAGCCAGTTTTTTTTTTTGTGTGTGTGTGTGTATTCAGGCCCCCCTTCGCTGAAAGCAGTATTTTCTCCACAGTTTGAAATCCTTTTTTTTTTTTTTTTTCCCCCTCCTGGATAATTATCCATTGTAGATGCCCATTCTCAGATAATGACTGCATCGCCACTGAGCTAGGAAATTAACAGGGAGCAAGAGTGCTGCAAGCACAATGGAAAGACTGCCCCCAGCGTCAGCACTCCACTAATTTTAAACAAGGAAAAGGGGAAAACTGTTGTTAGCACTTCCCTCCTGCTTATAAGGAATAACATAATTTCATTTTGTGTGTGTGATACAATCTAAAAGGAAGAGTAAAGAACAAATAATGCATGAGGTCTACAGTTAGAGTGAATGGCAACAGTGCCCCCTTGTGAAACAGATTTGCAACTTCTTTGAATAAAGACAGCAACTCAAGATTTGCAGTGACTCCCAAGTTTTTTTTTCTCCACAGTAGGTAGCTGATTTGTGTAGTTCAGCTCCATACAGTAATCACACTGTAGTCGCTAAAGCTGCACTGAAAAGGATAAAGTGATCAGAAAAGATCATGGCTGTTGTTCAGAGGCTTTATTTTAAACCACAACCTCAAATGGATTAAAAAAAATAAGTACATTAGCATGCAAAGTGAAATCGCCGTTGCAGCTGTTGCAACATTTTTATGAGTGCAGTTTCGCTTAACATTAGCTTTCTCTATAATTGTTGATGAAAGGATAGGGGGGCAGTTTTCTTACAGCTCTGC